CCTGAATTCTGAGAGTTTCTAGGACTTTAGTCCTTCCCAAAAACGAAGCAAATGGTATACATGTGGTCTCACCTTAGGCAAATGAGTTTGTTCAAAATTGCCTCTGTTCATCCAGCAGAAAATGGGTACCCGTTTGGGTAAGTCATGTGACTACAACCTTCTAGCGCCTAACAGGCAGCTTGGGTTATCCGGGGTAATAATAATCAGGGTGTTAGCGTTTTGAGCATGCTTTGTTGCGTGGAGAGTAGCGCATTATAAGACATCTCATTCATCTCATTATTATTATTATTATTTTATTAATACTGATGTTATTGAAACCCGTTCCATATGGAGTAAAGGTCAAAACAGCATTGAAAACATTATGAATGAACCATCCGATCGAAAAATTTGAACACGACCTATTTGTTTGATGTCATGCTAATAAGGACAAAGCTGACATAAATTCTAAACTATGTCTTTCGACACTATTTCAGTATAATGATATTTCTTGCTAGAAGTGCTTGGGTTAGAACACAAAATATATCGTGTCGTAAAACGGAACCAAGTGATTGATGATACTGCATCTCCTTCGTCAAGCATTGCGAAGATCGATGCTCATGCTGTTGATCACTGGATTGTCTGGTCCAGACTCGATTATTTACAGACCGCCGCCATATAGTTGGAATATTGCTGAGTGCGGCGTAAAACTAAACTCACTCACTCACTCAGAAGGTGTTTCTGGTAAACCACAGAGGGCTATTAAAGCCATTTGCAAATTGACAGAGTAAAATGTCAGTATCTGGTGTGACCACCATGAGCATCGTTAACAGCTGGGCAGCAGCGGCCATTACAAGAAAAAGCAGATGCCGAATGCTGTCTTGAGGAATGCTTTTGATACTCTTGCTGGAGTGCTGCGTGCAGTTCTTGTAGTGTCTGAGGTGGCGGATTAGGCTGGCACAAGCGTCGATCAAGAGTATCCCATAGATGTTCAGTGGGGACAAATCGGATGATCGTAAGAAGGGCATGGTAACATCTGACGTTGTTTTGCTGGAGGAAGTCCTCACAAACACGGCAACGTGAGGTCGCATTCATCATGTTGGCAAGATCCACCGTTGACGTTGAAGCAGGGAACGGCGTGATGCTGCAAATTATCGTCCCTATTCAATGCGTGCGTGAACTGGATGTAGGTCCTAGGCGGAGGTAGTAACTCTAGGTCCACCTGACCTCTGGATCTGTCATTAACACTCCCAGTATTGTTGCATCGCGTCCATAGGTGTGAGGATGGTCTGTCTCGACACGCCGAAGTGCCTTGCCACCTCATGCTGCGATGCCCCTCCTTGTAGCCGGCAGATGGCGTTGTGTCGTTGAGTTTCTGTCAGTTTTGGCATTCTTTGGTTATCTATGGTGGCTAAAAGCAGTGCATGTGGAGTATCGTTGATGTGTCTTTTAAAGCCTACTGGTTATAGGTTTCAGCTCGAGGGTGAACCACAATTTCACGATGCACGTGCATTTCATGTTATTGATGCGTTTTAGCGATTCACTACAAACACGAATGTAACGTTACGTTTTGTTCAGTTTCTTTTTTAAACGCTTTTGTCGTCGGCAACCATTCTTCCACATGTTTGATTCAGCATGGATTGGTTTGTGGCAAATATTTTCCTAATATTCAAATCGTTCCCGTGTTAAGTTTCTTTTAAGATTATGTAATGTTTCGATATGGCAAAGTACCATAAAACACAGCGCACCTGGCATATTTAATTGAGTTACAACACAGGATGGTGTTTACAAGTTCCTTCATACAGTCAGTAGAGAGTGTGCCATGGCACTGTCGACTTATCAGGCCACTAAGCGTGGATGAAAGTCCTGGGGAGTTTATCTCGATATCCGAGGAAGTATTTGGTGGATTTCACTGCAGCCTTGTTAGAGGACTCGGAAGAATTTGAAGAGGACTTTCGCTCCATTTTATCTCGTAGACTTGTCTCCTGTAAGTGACAAGCAATGAGGATCGTGCGGGTCAGATAACTAATAAACATTGTTCTGATTGCGATACTCCTGTGCAACCGAAGCAACGTGGTCTCGCGTTATCGTGCTAAAGCGTCACCCTGGGCCACGTTCTGTTCAAACTATGGTAAAGCGGCCATTTGCAAAATCTCGTCTCCATGCCTCGCGTCATTGCAAGATCGTCTTACCATTCTACAGCATGGCGTCTTTTGTATGCCAGGTATATAATAAAATGCATCAAGGCATGGTGACATTCCAGTAAGAACAGCTGAACCTGTCATCCTTCGAATTAGCCACCAACACATGATAGGGTTTACAAGCAAAATTCATACACAGTCAGTAGTGGAGTGTGTCAGCCCTGTGCATTAGTCCCCAGCCATGGCACTTTCCACTTATCGAGGCCACTCAGGCGTGAATAAAGAAGTTTCATTCCAACAACAGAGTAAGGATTTGATGGATTTCTGCAGCCTTGTTAGAGGACTATACGTTGAGTATTGTTGGTGGTAGAGACAATATGCTAAAGAAGTTACCAAGAACTGTGCACATGTCGATTTGCAGTTGACATGTAATCCATGTGTAAAGGTCGAATTCAAATGGATTATATCTTGACCATTCACGAAGTTATCATGTCCGAAGGACCGTTGGCTGCCTCCAAGAAGTAGCGTATCGGCTGGTCGACATCTTTGCTGTGAGTGACCCAATGGTTCAGTGTTTACTGCTGCTGAACATTGAGGAGGTGTCACAGATGCGGCCCAGCACCAAGATCATGCCGTATGGTAACCGCGTCAGCCCCAATCCCATGGTTCCGCTTGAGCGTGCCAACTTCGTGATATGAAGAACATGTTAACAGCCTGGATGTCTGACATTCAATACCGCTGCTTGGACCATGGGACTCAAGTTTGTTACATTTCCAGCTACCACAGCGGGATCAGGCAAACGCCATGTGCTGCCTTTTACTGGATCAGGATGCGCAAACTGGACTAAATTCCTCAAGCTCCCAAATGGGGTGATTGCAATTCGAAAGCCAGAAGAAGATCAAATGCAACTAATCGCCATGGCACTTAGCTCAGACCAGCCAGCACCAGATGCGCCACCAGTTACTGTGTAGCTGTTCCAGATCCACTCTGGCGAAGCAGCCATGCCGGGATACCGATCCGCCTGTTGTGGCAAAGATGGCAGTACCAGATCCACCTGTTGAAGAAAGCCGTTATAGATCCACCACCACTGTAGCCGCCGTTCCAGATCCGCTATAATTTAACCAGAACTCCTTTGTTGCAAAGAGACGCCAGCAGATCAGTATCCAGAGGAAGAGGGCAGTAAGGCTCTCAGTTGCAAAAAGCCTAGAGAATGGTGGAAAGAAGCAGTTGTTCTCTCAGAAGTTCACGTTGGTGACAACGTTACAGTTCCAACTCCATCCGACTGGGACAGAGGTAGAGCGCAATAGTGCAGTGGTAAGGCGTCAGTCTATCACGCTGAAGGCCACGGGTTCGATTCCCGGTGGAGGCACCTATGTTCGGGTCCCGAGATCGGCACATGTGCGTAAATTATGCTTGGACAAGATACCTAGATCCTTATTGTCTCAGTTCACCCAACTGTAAAATGGGTACCCATGTGGGATGAGCTGGCAATGTAAAAGTTTAGTTCATTGCGCCTTACCTGCAGCATGGCTGTATACTCCCCTAGGAGTTGACAGAGTATTGGAAACAACGATAGTGTCCTATGACCGAGGATAGTAATGTACGTAGCGACGTGAACAAGCAATGTGCCTGGATATGAGCGCCATATAAGCGGACTATTACTATTACTGACTTTTAATGACAAAGCTGGTGTTTTATCTGGAAAATATTCTCGTAATCAATTTGATTTGTGCGCCACAGCTCTCTACACCTTAAAGGATATGTCTAGGGGCAATCGGCCACATTCACCAGGGCCATGGAATTACAAGATGACCTATTTATTTTAAGATACTTTTACAAATATCAAGTTAAAAACCGATTCAATACTTTCACAATAAGACGTTCACGATATTTCTGCCATAGCATAAAATTGGTGTGATTTGTGAATCAAACTTTTGAATAAATCTGTACAGTTAATGTTTCTGAATTTCATTTGAAAGTGATTAACTGATAAAATTGCCTTTCCAGCTTAAGATGCTAAACATAATTGTGCTCTGCACCAAACAGGTTTTGGTGTAAATATGATGCCAAGATATTTATAAAAATACTGTTTCTATGTGTTGCCCTTTTAGACACAAATTTTCATAAGATCTAAGAGGCCATCCATTTCTGAAAACAACTTTTGTTTTCTTAAGATTTACTTTCATTCCTGTTTCCTTGCAAAATAATTCAAGGGCATTTATCTGTTTCTGCAATTGAATACACGTATCTGAAAGAGCCGAAACATCATCGGCAAACATAAGGGCATACACATTATTGCAAACAGCAGACATAAATATTCCCTTACCATCTTCATTTTGCATAATTGTGCCTAAACGATTAGTAAATATCATAAATATTCGAGGGGCTTAAAATGCATCCCTGACGGGTACCCACATTACAAGAAAATTGTTTAGAAAGTCCCTCAGGGGTTCTAACACAGGCAACAACGTGAACTATACATACAGGTGATAATATCTAAAACTTCTCATCTAGTCCAACCAAGATAATATATAAGTATACCATGTTTAAGTGCATCGAAATCTTTTTGAAAATCGATAAAAGACAAATAAAATCTACCCTGTATTTTACATGAACATTTATGTATGATAGTCCGTAGTATAAAAATTGTGGTTCGATGTAGAATAGTGTGTGTGTGTGTGTGTGTGTGTGTGTAGGGGGCGGGATGGGGAGGATGCTGCTTGTTGGTTGCCGCTTACTGCTGTAAGGGAGCTTTCTGTTATGTGTTGAATGTCCGTAACAATGGATAGTGACATGAGTTATGAGTTATTTACATGTAAATTGGCCACATAAACCGTAAAAGTGCCACATAATTCGGCAAGTTCTTTTCCATAATAATTATACACGTAATGATCTTTTGAAGGTCAAGGGATATCAAATATATCTTGGGATAATCATCATTGCCATATACACAGTCAATATTATCATGTGGGATATAATCAAAGACGTCCTTCACCCTAGCATTACGGTCCCTCCTAAAAACCATACTCACTCACTACTTAAGAATAGATTTTTGTCAGGGTGATCTGCAGTGATTGTGCACTTACCTTTATGTTATCATTGACCAGTCCATTGTTATAAGGGAGGATGTTTGGTGATGATGTCATCAACTGTAGAAATAGCTGAACTGTAGATCTTATCTAGGGGCACATCCATGACATCCACGATGCAACAGGCTCAGCCCGTTAAACATGTATCCACATCCTCAGGAGGTCTAAACGGTGCGTATCGGTATCTGGTGCGCAGAGATAGGGTGAAGGCATTCAAAGTGAAGTTGAATGGACTGCTGATTTGCCATTTTGAAAGTGATGCATTCGATGCACCAGGTGGAGACTGGACCTTCATTGTTCATTGTGATTGTGTTGACTTTGAAGCGAAACTATAAGCATAGATCTAAAGCTAAATTTGTGAACAAATGAGGTGTGGTAATGCACTTTCCAGTTAATACTGTCGCCTAAGATAGCGATACAAATGTGCACTTGACTGGATCAATAGAGGAATGCTAGTGGCTGTGAATCCTCCAATTTCTACAGAACGACGCCAACAAAACGAAGAACGAAGTACACACAAATTATATACCATCATATTTCCATCATTGTCTTTATTGCTTTAATCTCTGCTCTTGTATTATATTCTACTAAACGTGTACTGCCACACACAATTTTGTACCGTTATATTGATTTTATTTACTTAGTAAACAAAAATACAATTATCAGTTATAGCACATTTCTTCGTTCGTTTATTGACTGATACCTGGTTAAATTTTAATTTCAACTTGGGAATAGACAACATTACAACATGGAACATTGCTAACACGTAGGATTTGCAATGCCACAAATATCGTCGTCTCTATAATATCACTGACATCTCCTCACTGCCATCCACCATTCTGACAGGTGCCGTTCCCGGTCGCTGGGCATGACGTCCAAGTAATCGTCACTGCTTAGATAACACCCCTTGGAAGGTCGTAAATCAGCAGTTTTACATACAAAGGACGTTTCTTCCACACATGCCGCTGTGCACATTTTCACTACATCTTCAAACTCTCCCCCTCGACACGCACCAGCTTCCGGTTATGACCCTTATCGCCAGTCCCTTATACAGAGTCATGGTGTTTCCATACTTCTTGCAGTCTGAAGAGATCGAGTGAGATGGCTTTCAACTACTCAGAGTAATAGTATCTTAATATGATAACATAAACTGAATCAAAAGCATTTTCAAAATCGATTAGAACTAATAATCCTGGTATTTGATAAGATTATGTATACTCTATTAGATCATATATCAGCCTACTGACCTCACCAATATATCTTCCTGGTACGAAAAGTTTTGATCTTCATATATTATTAGCGGTAGTATCTGTTTCATTTCTATTCTTATTGCTGAATGCGGCGTAAAAACTTAACTCTATTCACTCACTCATTCTATTCTACCATCAAAGAGAAAATTTGTATGGAAAGACAAACCAGATAAAATCAAAAGAGATGCATTTGCCGCGTCACCTAAAACCAGTGAGTGGGGTTGGGTATACGCCGTCTTTAGCAATATTTCAGCAATCACACCAGGGCAGGGTGCACCAGAAATGGGCTTTACACAATGTACCCAAGTGGGGAATCGAATCCAGGCCTGATGGGCGAACGCGTAACCACTACGCTAAAGCCCCTAACCATCCCATGTCTTGAAGACTGATCACTAAACTAAATATTGTTAGAAACTGTAACTAGAAATAAATAGTAAACCTTTTCCACTAAGAAGCTCACCTCTGTCACAGGAGTTACTTGTAATGTTGTGGCTGTACCCAGGGCGACACAGACACCGTCCAAGGAAGCAAGACGTCATAGTGACGTGACAGTCGTCATTTCAGTACAGTTCATGCCAATATGTTTACTTAAAAAGCCAAAATTTCCTATATTTACTAACATATAGGTGTATTACCATAACAAAGAAGCCAAACAGAGTCAAAGTGCAGTGGAGTCAGTAAATATAGTTTTAAGCCGCTTTTAGCAATATTCCAGTAATATCACGGCCCGGGACACCATACATTGGCTTCACATATTGCACTTGCACGTAAGGAATCGAACCCGGGTCTTCGGCGTGACGAGAAGTAGCTTTAACCACGAGGCTCCACCGACCAAAACAGAAGTGTGGCAGATTTTGTGTTGATGTCCACAAGCGGTATTTTGGAGCAAGTTCATCATCGTAAAATAGCATTTGCATGGAAATTTATATAAACATGATCGTCGTGAAGCATCGGCTGTTTGTAAACTAATCTCATCAAATAGCATTACGTGGAAACTTCGCAGAGAGCCATCTTCATAAATATCGAGTGCTTGAAGACTAACCTGCAAGTCATCTTCGTAAATATCGAGCAGCGACTTAATTGAGTAACTTCATGAGCTTTTTGGGAACCAGAGGTTGTCAACATGCGCGTCCATTGGTTTTCATGACTAACAGAAACAACTGTATATTCCTTTATGTTGTATGTATGCAATTACCATCATATATTTCACACTAAGCGGTTGGTCATTTCCTTCCCAAGAGTGCACCGCGAATTAGCGCCACAGGAAGTGTCAGCACAGGCACCTGTCAGTGACTAAATATACAAATAATTTTATATCATTTATATCACATATACATATTCAAAATAACATCATCCCTACAACAAATCTGTTTGTTCGTTGTTTAACGCTGCATTCCAGCTATAAGGCGGCAGTCTGTAAATAATTGAGTCTGGACCAGACGATTCAGAAAACCACCGTCGTGCGCATCAATCTACGCAATTGGGATACAATGCCATGTGTCATCCAAGTCAGCGATCCTGACCGCCCGATTCCGTTAGTCGCTTCTTACCACAAGCATGGGTTTTTCATTGAAAGTCCAGTTATAACCCTAATCCTCATGGATATCAAGGTTTTAAAATAGACTGATTCTCTTTATTTCTGGATACTTACCCCTCAAAGTTGAACGTTGAGTATTTAGAGAAGACAAATTATGAGTATGCATTGAAACGTGACTGAGAGTAGATTAAGCCTTCATACAAACCATATTTTCCAGTCGTGGATGTTGCTAAAGAAGACGCCACCGCCGACAGTAAAGCCGCTATCCGTCTTGCCCCTTGTCGGGTCTAGAAGTTGACATGTCTGTTTCTCAGGATCAAAGATTGAAGGACAGACAATAAGCGGGGACAGTTGGCATCTGCAGCGCAGTCGTACATAGAGGGCGCAACAACAGACCGGATGTAACCATGATCCTTTTCAGGGACAACTCCTTCATGGGAGGATGTGAACAGTCGTCATTACTTCGCCTGCAGTGCCTGGGGGACAGGACACAGCGAAACAGACAGCGGCCACGAGAATGGCAGACATCATTGCCTGGAGACTGAAATTAGAACTTTGTTTCAAGACCATTTAGGTGTATTGTTGTGTCAATCAATTGTTTTGACTGATAAAGACCGTCCTAAATCCTAGATCGCCCAATAGCATCATCGTCATGTTTAATCCCTTTATGTGACTAGTATTTTCTGGTAGCGATGTAAGGCGGTGAGGTAGCCTTATGGGTAAAAACATTTCCCTCATATCGCCACGACCCGGGTTCGATTCCCACATGGGTAAAATGTGTGAAGCTCATCGCGCGTCCCACGGGTAAAATGTGTGAAGCCCATTTCAGTGTGTGTCGTCCTTGAGACGTGCAATGCGTTGCTGCACCGCATTCAGGGATCATATAAGAGAAAGGTATGGAGTACCAAATGACACAATACTGTCACTTTGAAAGCAAGACAAAATCATCCTTTTATCAGGTAGCGTCCTTAACCCGCATCAACAGAACTTGAGAGAATCTAATGGTCGACATCCCATCATTGGGAAGCCTGTCCTTGTATGTACGTTAGCTACCAGTAGTTGGCTTATCTCTATGCGTCGTCGATGCACTGCTGTTCTCAATGCCGATGGTGGACATACCTATGTTATTGAGCTTGTGACATGGTCGTTTGACCCCTGATCTCCGCTTGTGGACTCCTGACGTCATTGTGATTGACTTTTCAACTTGAAATTCTCCTGACTTGTTATGTAGTCCTGTGCTGATCCCTCCATTAAAAGTTTATATACGTACCTTTGAGCATTGTTATCGAATAACAAATATGATGTTAATAAATATTCTATAGATTGAGGAACGGGAGGTTTACTCAACAGTAACCACCTCCCATTTAATCAGTTATTCCATTGTTCCGGGAACAAGTGCCGAAATATATATATCTTTCTTCAGCGAGATGTTATTTTTACAGAAATATTGAAGGATGTGTGACGATAGTATTTGCTAAAACAAGATAGAAAATGAGGATGAAAAATTAAGGTTGGGTCGGTCTCTTAATATCACGCTCAGATAGTTAACACATTCGAAAGGTGAGGCTACAGACATGTCGCTTCAATCAGGATTTTAAATTCAAGTATGATAGCCTTATTGATTCATCACAATGGTACAATGTGTGGAAAGCCCATTTCTGGAGACCCTTGCTTATGATATTGCCTCGATATTGGTAAATGTGGCTAAACACTAAACTCACTCACTTCATTTTCATTTTCACTCCACTCCAGTATTCTCGTCAGCATTTGTGTTAATATATGTATGTTAACATGTAGGTATATTGTAGGACAAATGACTATAAGACATGAAAAAGCTTAAAAGCACTACTATGAAACCTTCCATGACAATAACTTATCTTGAGAGCTTTGTGACGCGAATTCCTTCAGTTCTTCATCCCCTGCCTTTGGTATATATCGTGTCCCACGATGCTCGTTGCTATGAGACAAGACATTAACTTTAATAACATTAATAATTCCACAGTTCATATTTTGAAAT